TCTTGTGTAGGCACTGGAAAGTCACAGAGCAATCACAGACTCTTCTTGTGTAGGTACTGGGGAGTCACACAGCAATCACAGACTCTTCTTGTGTAGGCACTGGGGAGTCCCACAGGAGTCACATACTCATGTGCCTTCTTCTTCTACAGCTTTCTGAAAGCAGATGTACAATAGAAAATAGAAATACAAAGGTCACCATTTTCCACCTTTGTCTTAGAGACTGAACACAATAGAGAAGGGTGATGGAGAGTAGGATGCTTTCAACTAGGAACTGACCCACCTGCACCTGGGCTTGATTTAGAGTTACCTGCTGGGACTCATCCACACTGAAGTGGAAAGGATTCCTATGAGCCCCTCCCACTGATGTCACTTCCCACTAATGGGTGGCCTTCTCCTGTTTGTGTTCTTGTTTAATCCTAATGCTCTACAAGTTTCTGTCCTGCTACAGAAGTGTGATAAAACACAGAGTAACAGCAATCCCATTGCAGTGGGACCCTGAAGGCCCAAATCAGCTGTCAGCTGCAGGGGTGGCCAAACCCCTCTGACAGGCACTTGTGCAGGGCACGTCCAGAGGACAGTTAACATCTCACAGTCTCTCACATTTTGTATGAGCCTTCCACAGACACAACATGGAAAACCTTACTCACAAGTTTATTAGCAATTAAGAAACACTTTACAATCCCATTACTGTCCAAATTTCCTTTTGGTAGGCCATGCAGCCCACTGTTTTATTTAACAACATACAACAATCAGGTTATACTTCCAAGTAACTGTTTCCCAGCTGCTGTTCATTGACACCATTGACCTCAAAGTTGAATTATGTTTTAATAACTCTTGTAAGTTTCGGCTTTGTAAGGTTGGTCATATTTTAGGAAAACAGAAATTTGTGTAGATAGATACAAAAATGGAGTGAGACTGGGGAAAATATCTGCTATCATGGAAAATCCTTATATTTCTTTAACCTTGCTTCCTTTTCATATATCAAAGATCACATTCATTTCAAAACTCAGTCACAGCATCCCTTCACAAATAGCATATTAAATTTCTTTTTTTTTTTCCCAAAATACAAAACTCAAATTGCCATTATTTGCTTCTCTTTTTTTTAGGGGATAAGTAGCAATGAATGAAATAACTCATTCCAACAACTTCAAGAATTTCTGTACATTTCAGAACATGAAGAAAATAAGGACAAAAATAGCAACAAAGGAAAATACATGCAAGCTTCACTGCATCCTCTCTATGCAGTTGCTATGCAGCAATTGCCTTCCGACAAAGAACTTTGGCTTTTTTGCTTTCTAACGTTTTGTCACTCAAGTAGATACAGTATGTTCAAATCCAAAACAATTTAAATGAGTTTTCTGCTCTAAGAGTTGCCTCAGATAACTACTAATTAGAACCTACATGCCCTCTGACTTGCTCATTTTGAAACTATATTAACAACAGGACAAAATACACAACCTAAATAAGCCAACACTACCACAAATAGAGAAAAGTCCTCTCTTCACCCTCATGCAAAAACCACAGTGTAGCAGGCAGGCACTCAGCCTGAAAAAAAAAAAAAATAGGAAGAAAATAAAGAAAGAGCGTTTTTTGGCAGTTAATGTGAGCAACCTTTGTCACTGCTGTCTTTTCCAACAGGTTTCTGGCTCACTGCTGTTTTACACTCCAGTGTTCTGCTATGGATGTGGGCATATTGAAAACTTGTGTCATAAACAGCCACCTGCTTAATCCTTCACCAGTAGTAAAACACTTAAAACTTTGAAAAGGAAAGTAAATTATTATGCACACCCTGGGAAAAGAATCAGTAGATCAGTGTTCTTTATATGGATTTAGGGAAATAATTTGTTCCAGGACAAATGAGAAAAATTAAATTCTCTACAGTGGTCCGGGACTACAATCCTAAATTAAGTTACTAGCACAGATTTCTTGGCTGCACCCCCTTGCCCTTTAATCCATAGGCCATGAATTCAGTCTGATGTGGCAGGAAGGGACTGTGCTGCTGCTGCACAGCCACCATCCTCCTTCATCACCAGCACAGCTGCCCCCAAAACCCCATGTGCCCACCAAGCAACCGGGCTGAACTGCCCACAGGGTTCTGACCTGCATCAGGAAGTGCATTCTGGCAGAGATGCCACAAAGAAGCACCTATGAAATTAACGCTAAGCATCTCGAGAAAAAGGCAAGTGTATACTTCTAATTTCAGCTCTCAGGGCAAGGTCCCCTCAAATGGATATTTTTAAGGTCCCTGCTTGGGCAGGCAGCTGAGCATTGAGGTCTGCTGTGTAGAAGCCCCTGGAAGCACAGCTGCCCAGGAACAAAGGCTGCCTGTTCCTCCTGGGAGCAGCCCCACACAAAGGCAAGGGCACAATGCTGCCCTCAGGGATCAAACCGACAAAGCAGGATCTGGTGCTGAAGCTGTAAGGTGTAATAGACAATATCCTGCCATTCTCAGCTGCAGTGGGAGGTGGCAGTTCATTAACGGTTTTGCTACAAAAGGTTTCACTGGGATGAAGCTGAGATTTCACTCCATGGTTCTCCAGTGCAGCTCTTTCAGCCTTGTTCAAAATGCACCCGAGGTGAAACTGGATAGCAAGACAAAATGCTTTAAGGTTCCTCTGCTTTTCACAGCTTTAATGGTTTGTTGACTGCCTCTCCTAAGGAGAGATTTCTGGTGTCTTTCTGTTAGGTTTTTCCTTCTTATTATCGGTAAAATCGGCATAGTCACTTAGCTGTCCCTCTTGGATGTCAGTAAGGAAGAACAATTTCAGAACAAAATATTCCTATCAGCAGGCAGAGTACACACAGGTACAAATATCTAGCATTTTCCCTGGCAAAGCCCTCTAAATTGGCCAGATTATTTAAAAAAAAAATTTTTTTAAAAAAATCCTGCAGCTACTGATCAGTTGATTTGAAGATTATTAGAGTTAATAGAATTCTAGTATTCATTTCCATCATCCCATAGCCAGCATGCTCTGTTGCTCACTAATCAGTAGAAGAGGGCTGGCTGGCATTTCTATCTTCCTCACAATACCACAAAAATAATACACATATTCAGAGCAAAGCAACACTTTTACCACAGCCAAAGAAAACAAGTGCAGTGTTATCCTTCTAAGTGTCATTCATTTAACAGATTGTGTGGTTTTTCTGTAAAGGTTAATTAAGCCTAAATTTCATTAGGTTCTTGAAACTCAGTAGAAACACCATTCATTCACAAATTTCTTGATTTTTGTACTTTTTTAAATGATGTTGAAACTAATTTTTTTTTTTAGCTTTTACAAAAGGAATAGACTATCACAGAAAACTTTCCCAAAATATATTATAATGCCTGTATAAGGGTAACATGTAGAGACTTTCAGAGGTACCTACTAGAATATACACTAGTTACTAAGAAACAAAGCTATGAAGCAATCAATTGGGGCACTTAGAAGAAAAACCTAATACATCAGGTTACTTTTGCATACCTGAAACTTTGTTTCCAGTCTTTGCATATATTTCGTAGTCTTTAAAAGGAGAAGAGTAGTACTGTTTATACAATTCAAAAAGTAACTCTTCTTGTAAACTTTCTTATCACATGGTAATTCAATAAAAGGACATTTTAGAAGTGGTTAGTGAGGCAGCTCGTTCAGAAACAGAGCAGTAGATCAACTTAGGAAACAAGCCTCCGACTCTGAAAATCAGTAAGCCTTTCTATAAAAGCAGCAGAATAAAGCAGAATAAAGTAAAATCACTTACAATTATCAGCTTTCTAACAATAATCCACGGATTTTCTCAAAAGGCTTACCAGTTGTTAGGTCATACTTTTCATTGTGAAGACAAAGAAAATCAGATTGGTGGCACCACAGAAACCTCCCAGCTTCCTTCAGTGAGGTGAAAAACCAGGCATTCCCTGTCCCACCCCGCCACAACCAGTTTCCACTGCCTCGCTGTTTGCAACTGGTGCGCGTTGTCAGATACCACAAAATCTTCTTAGGAAATTTTTCTAACCTGTGCACTTTCAGAACAGGTCACCCACACGGGGGTCTTCTCTGAACACAGAAATGGTCTCAGGAAGGTGTTCCTCTTATAAACAAGTAGCGAACTGGGCATTCCCATCGATGAACCCTTGGCTGTTACAACTTGAGGGAAGAGCCCAGGTCCCCAAGTTACGATTTTGATATCATATGAGAACAGACCTCATTCACTGACATTCTTGTGAAGGCAGTTTGTTCACAGAGCAAAGATTTGCCGAACGCAGATCCCAACATTCAAGCTCCATCCCCTGTGTGAGGAAAGAAAACCTTTCTTTCCTTAGGCTCCGCGGCAGACACCCGCAGCTGCGGCTCGTCCGCAGCCGCTGCCGGCCCGGCGAGCCCCGCGGGGCTCTGGGGGACGCAGGAGGAGCCGCGGCAGCCCCTCAGCAGCCCCTCAGCCCCGCGGCAGCCCCTCAGCAGCCCCTCAGCCGCCCCTCAGCCGCCCCTCAGCCCCGCGGGAGCCAAGGAGCCGCGGCGGGATCCCTTCAGAAGTGTCAAACGACGTGGGAAGAAAGAGTCGAGAAACTAAAGTAAAAAGTACGGAAACCAGCCAATCCTGGGCATTGCCGTCTTGGTTTTAACTCTGGCAGTACCGATGACAAGCAATAAAACGTTTGTGCTTTACGTTATCGCAATACCTCAACTAACGGAGCCCAAGAGGAGGCGGTCGCCCCTGAGCTCGCGCGGGCCGGCTCTGCCGGGGGGCCCGGGCACGGCGCCGGGCTGGCTCGTGGCGCCGGGCAGGACCCGCTGCCCGACACACCGAATGTCCGAGCCCAGCGCTCGGCCTTGAGCCTTCCCCGCACAGCGCTGGCCCTGCTGTCCCCGCGGCCCCCTGGGGACGCACCCGCAGGTGTGGAGGGCGGCCGCGCCCCTGGTGACGCGCAGCCCTCAGGCACCGCCGCCGTCAGGGGTCCCGCGCGGCCCCCAGCCCGGCCCGCGGGGCGGCGCATGCGCGCGGGGCCGCGGGGCAGAGCAGCGCGGGCAGCGATGGCCGGCGGGGAGCAGCGGGCGCCCGGCGGCCCCGAGCGGGTGGCGCTGAAGAAGGAGATCGGGCTGGTGAGCGCCTGTGCCATCATCATCGGTAAGGGCACCGCGGGCCGCCCCGCCGCAGCGCTCACAGCCCTGCCACTCGGCTGTGCTGGCGCCGCGGCGGGGGCTCGGGACCGGCCGGCGCGGGGCCAGGCGGCGGTGCGGCGATGCGCGGCTCCGCGGGCAGGTGTGCGGCACGGGCGAGGGGACAGCGCGCCGCTGCACCGAGCGGCTCGGCCGGCGGCGAGCTGGGCGGCGAGAGGCTGACACACGGGGTGTGCTGGGCTGCCAGCTGCAGTGAGCCCCCTCTGCCCAGTCGTTCAGCTGAGCGCCAAACCGTGAGGTTTCCTACGGTCTCTTCCTGATGCCCGGTGAGCTGCTGAGGCTTCTGCGGCGCTCACTTGCCAGGCTAAGCCAGGTTGTTGATTCGTTTATCTACCTGAGATCGGAGCTCTGCAAAGTGCAGGTGGCGGCGTGGGCTCTCGGCAGGCGCTGCCGGGGTGTCCGGAGCCGCGGTGGGGCAGCGCCAGCTGGCAGCGGGGCTGTCCCGCAGCAGGCACGGCTCACACCGCGGGCAGAGCGGGGCTGTCCCGCAGCAGGCACGGCTCACACCGCGGGCAGAGCGGGGCTGTCCCGCAGCAGCGATGGCTCACACCGCGGGCAGAGCGGGGCTGTCCCGCAGCAGGCACCGCTCACACCGCGGGCAGAGCGGGGCTGTCCCGCAGCAGGCACCGCTCACACCGCGGGCAGAGCGGGGCTGTCCCGCAGCAGGCACCGCTCACACCGCGGGCAGAGCGGGGCTGTCCCGCAGCAGGGATGGCTCACACCGCGGGCAGAGCGGGGCTGTCCCGCAGCAGGCACCGCTCACACCGCGGGCAGAGCGGGGCTGTCCCGCAGCAGCGATGGCTCACACCGCGGGCAGAGCGGGGCTGTCCCGCAGCAGGCACCGCTCACACCGCGGGCAGAGCGGGGCTGTCCCGCAGCAGCGATGGCTCACACCGCGGGCAGAGCGGGGCTGTCCCGCAGCAGGCACCGCTCACACCGCGGGCAGAGCGGGGCTGTCCCGCAGCAGCGATGGCTCACACCGCGGGCAGAGCGGGGCTGTCCCGCAGCAGGCACCGCTCACACCGCGGGCAGAGCGGGGCTGTCCCGCAGCAGGCACGGCTCACACCGCGGGCAGAGCGGGGGGGCTGTCCCGCAGCCGTGGCTCACACCGCGGGCAGAGCGGGGCTGTCCCGCAGCAGGCACGGCTCACACCGCGGGCAGAGCGGGGCTGTCCCGCAGCAGCGATGGCTCACACCGCGGGCAGAGCGGGGCTGTCCCGGAGCAGGCACCGCTCACACCGCGGGCAGAGCGGGGCTGAGCTGCTGCTCCCGAAATAGAGTCAGGACTGGGAAATTAGGGCACAGTGTGCTCAGCTCTGTCCCTCCGTGTGCTCCATCAGTGCTGGAGGTGTGGGGGCAGGCGTGGGGCAGGAAGATTGGCCCCGGTGAATAAAAGCAGCCTGTACTAACCCAGTCAGCCTCAAAACCCCGTAGGAAGACCCAGCCGTTCCTGTCACCAGGACCTGGGGACAAGGCTCACAGTGACACTTCTGTCAAGGTCCACGGCAGCACGGGGAGGTAACAGCGGGCACAGCAGGATCTGCCGCATCCATGGGAATGCACTGCTGAGTGGCAGAACTGGCTGAGACACCCCGATGTGACTCTGTGGTTGATGCCACCAAGCTTGAGGAAGAGGACTTCACTGCATGCTTCCTATAGGTGATCATAGTGCCCTAGTGCAGTTTGTGCTCTTAGTCATGTATGCATCTATGTCCAATGTAGGTGGATGTGGTCTTGCAAAAAAAAAAAAAAAAAATCAATGCCATTGAATGGGATCATTGTGATCAAGGCTGTTAGGCTGTTACATGAAAGGAAAATATTTCAGTCCATTTCCATAGTGAAACACTGAAATCTGTATCTGCAGTTTTTGCGGAGATGTGTTCTACATATCCAAAGATACCTTCATTTTGAATCCCTCAGCATATTTAAGGGGAAAATCTCAGTTCTGGATCTCAGTGGAGCACAGATGACCTTGTGTTAGAGCAAAGTATTGAGTGCTGCACGTTGCTGTAGGTAAGGCATTTCCAGGGTTAGGTATTCCCCGAGTTGCTATTGGCCATAGGGAAGATTTATGGCATCTCTATTGTTTGTTAGGTATTACAGAATGGTACCTTGAGACTGCTACCCTTCTCTCCCAGTCAACCTTTCATCAACCTTACTTGCAATATCCTGCAAGCAGAATTCATATATGTCATGCCTGTCCAAAATAAATCTTGTTAAATAGCCTCTCATCTAATCAGGGACATTTGAGCAGAGAAAAGCACTGACATTTCTGATAAACTGTAGTACTCTCAAGTGGTCTAAGTATTAGAGAAGGTTATCTGCTTTGCCACATAAAGCCTAACAATTCTTCTGCAAATTTCCCCATATTTTCATGGAAAACATTTGAAACACAACCATAGGATCCCATTTTTTAGTTTGATTTGTTTGTGTGCAGATGCATGAAATTACATCACATATCAAAGTCTTCTGTAACAAAGTGGTATGCAGTAGGAATATAGTCTGGCTTTGTAGGTGCCACTGCATAAAACATGACAGCCTCCAATCAGAGGACACTGTAAGTTACATCAGATCAGCTTGCAAGCCATTACTGGAGTTAACTCAATGAAATCTTATTTTAAATTCCTTTATAAAAAAAAATAACTAGTTGATCCAAGTTGATATTAGGCAACTAATTAACTCACAAATTTTCTGTTTGATAGAATTTAACACAGCCCAAAGATTTACTTCCAAATGATTCAATGGCATGGAAAAAGCAGATGCAGTCAGTGTGTCAGAGCCTGTGGAACAGACCAAAGGACAGACCTGGACTTTTGTGTCAGCCATCATATTGGATTTCCTGGTTTTGAGTGGAGTAGGGAAACCCATTTCAAAGGTTTAGACATCAGATTCTGATGCATCCCACAGCAAAGTCATACTGAGAACATACTTCAAAATACCAAGAAAACCAGAAATTGTTTTTGAAAAAAACTCTTCTTGCTCTGTATGGACATAAAGATTATGCTTTCTTATTTTTCTTTAAATGTTCTTGCAGGTACAGAAAATGTATGAGCATATTTTTATATTATCAAGTAGAAGTTTGATGCTGTGATCTGCCAGCATTACTCTAAATGTTCTGGTTTAGCTGACTGTTCTACAATTCTAATCAGCTGCAGGATGGATATAGAGAATTATAATCTCCTAGTAATTAAGAAGAGGAAACATGAGGCAGTATTTGAAAAATACTGTAAATATGAGTTTATAAATACAGGATTGATAAGCTTGTGGTTGCCTTCTAATTCTGCTTGTTTAAAATAAGGTATTATATGAGTTGCAGAGCTGGGGAGTCAGACAGTGCTAGGGAGCACTCAGAAAGCAATGACATGGAGTGAGAGAAGGCTTGGGGGTGGGAGCACACTGTATTTGAGAGTATTCCACTAATGCAGGATGTAGTCTGTAGAATTTGCAGTCTGTTAGTAGTACTCCATCAGAGCTGCAACCAAGAGAATAAAAACAACCTCTCTGGATACATCGCATCATCCAGGTTGAACATGCCCAGGCTGTTGGAGCTCAGGAGGGGCTCAGCCTGCCCTGGGGGTATGGGGCACATCCTGGTTCAGGAGCACGGAGGGAGGGCACAGGCAGCCTGGATCCTGCCATACCCTGTGCTAATTCCCTGGAAAACAGGTCTTCCTTTTCAATCTTCTTGACATGCTTTGAATTGTAGGGCAATTTTCTTACTACTTTTACAACAGAGGTATTTATCAACACAATAAATTGCTATGATGTCTTAATGCACTCACAAAACTCATCCTTTCAAATTTTTATCCTCCTTTTATAGAGGTTTGAAGGGTTTTGCCATAAGAAGTACCATTCATCTAACAAAAAACTATGCAGAAAAAAAACATAATAAACTACACCAAATTAAGAATGTGTCTTTCCTATATCCACCCCATAGAACAGTCTCCTGATCTCTTCCAGCAGCCTAGCTTTTGTACTACAGAAGTCTGTCTTTCATTACTTTATTTATATTTTTTACTTGTTTACAAACAAGCCTGATTAGAGAAGAAGGCTATTTCCAAAGTTTATTTCACACTGAGGCAGAGGACAGCTCTTCTGAGTATCCTGATGTAAATACAGGTACTGAATATAGAACCTTTAAATAGAGACTGGTAGTTAATGACTGTAAAACTGAAGAGTGTTCAGTAGTAGTAACAAATCTTTCTGACAATTCATCTCTGTCATAGAAAGAGCACTTTTGAAAAGTGCCTGAGACATGGCCTGTAGAAGCACCCAAACTGCTCTGTCTCAAACATGGTTATATGTAGTGGAAACAAATCTCTCATGGGCTCCAGACATTAATGATCTAATGCACTCACATGCACTGCAAATCAAGCTTGCCAATACTTAAATGAAGTATACAGCTTAAAAAGTAGTGACATATATGTGTTATTATGTCCTAGATAGTAACAAATAGATAGTAATTGTTTGAAATCCACACTAGATTTTATTTAGCAGACACAGAAATCAATGCTGTATTTGACTGAACAGTTATTTCATGCACATACAATCAGCTGGCTTTACATCTCATTTGTAGAACTGTGTGTGTAATTAAGATTATTGCATGTGCATTTTCTTTGAGCACAGGCTTCTTAGCTACACAGTGCCTTCCTTGGAGTCTTGCCTGTGTAGATAAACTTCTTACTAAGTAAGAAGTTCCATGACTTGATGTAATTTCTAACAGATTCCATTGTTCTTTAGAAAAGTACAAGAACTAAAAAGTGCAGGCTGATTAATGTCTTATACCAGCCTGGTTCTTTGGGTCTGAACAACAAAATTCACTGCTCCTCCATTAGAAATGTATATTTAACTGTATTCACAAATTGTATATATAACACATGTAAAAAGGATTGTTTGACTGTTTAATACAGGTCAAGTAACATTATATAAAACAAACAGTTAAACATCT